GTCATACCTATTCTACAAGGTCGAGTATTGCAGGGTCTCGTTTGGTATGTATAACCAACACACTGGCGTCCACCGTTCAAAGGCTTTGGGTTTGTACAACTGCGTGTGCGCTGTTGAATACCACCGCTGCAGCTTCGGCTGCAGGCTCGCCAGCTTGACCAGGAAGACCATCGCCCATCTTAAGATATAAACATGCTTTTCATCAGTTGTATTTAAACGAATTATAAGATATTCGAGGAATAGCGCGAGCTCTAATCGAATGATAACCATGTTTTATACATTGGTTTTCGACGTTTTGAATAAAAAATACAACCATRATTCGTGTCTTACCGACTCTACAAGGACTAGTATTACAGCGTTTGACTTCAAAAGCTTGTCCGGCACAGCTTCGACCACCATAAGCAGGTTTAGGATTCGTACAACTTCGTACKCGTCGGGTAAGTCCACCACCACATCGCTTAGTACATTGACGCCACGAAGACCATGAACTCCAAGCGCCATCTTGAAGAGAATAAGAATCGTTGAATAGAGTTGATATATATTGCGTCCACTGGGAATGTAACCAGCGTTATGCTACTGTGAATAACACCGGTGTTTATATGTATATATAACACTTGGTTTTGTGGTTGCAATCAAATGCAGAAGTTTTGTCAAGCTTTCACTTCGACGGATGAATAAAGTACGAAGGTCAAAACTTCTTCCTCTCCTTTTACGGCATAAAACTTTAAATGCTGAAGCAGAACGAGTTGAATCACGCAGGTGATTCTCAAGGATACTATTGCATGCTGCAAGACAGTTTTGTATCATTGTATACTAGAGTAGTCTTATTTGTCATATATTTAGTTCTTACCAACAATACATGGCTGCGTATTACACCGTCTTTTTTCAAATGTACTGCCAACGCAGTTTCGTCCACCGTAAGAAGGTTTCGGATTATCACAACGACGCGTGCGCTGTTGAATTCCACCGCTGCACGATCGACTGCAGGCCTTCCACTGCGACCAGTTGCTCCACCGTCCATCTAAGATTAATGTAATAAACTATGAATAATTGCTTCARTGATTTCACATRRCCYGAGAAAYAGAGGCAGCCATACCTTTCGCACAWGATCGAACGTTACATTTTCTTGACTGGRATGATCTGCCATAACAATTCCGTCCACCGAACGCTGGTTTTGGATTGGTACAAGTGCGCGTRCGCTGTTGGGTCCCATCACCGCATGAAGCACTGCATGTTTTCCATGACGACCATTGGCTCCACTGACCATCTGAAAAATAATCCATATATGGTAAAAATATTCCATATTAGGTCATATGCTTTTAAATGATAAGAATCACATACAATCAACGTATCCATACACCTACCTACTCTAGTTTTACATCTGTGTGTATTACATCTTTGGGTGCTAAATGATCTTCCAACACAATTTCTACCG